AAAACTTTAGATATTCTGAATGATCACTTCTTTTGGCCACACATGAAACTTGATGTTGAAAGGATCTGTGAAAGGTGCATAACATGTAAACAAGCAAAATCTAGAGATTTACCACATGGTTTGTATACTCCTTTACCCATACCTACTGAACCTTGGGTTGATGTATCTATAGATTTTGTTTTGGGCTTACCAAGGTCAAAAAGAGGCCACGATTCTATTTTTGTTGTTGTTGACAGGTTCTCGAAGATGGCACACTTCATTCCATGTCATAAAACTAACGATGCAACCAATATTGCGGATCTATTCTTCAAGGACGTTGTTCGTTTACATGGCATTCCAAGGACTATCACTTCTGATCGCGATGTCAAGTTCTTGAGTTACTTTTGGAAGACATTGTGGGGAAAGCTAGGAACTAAGCTACTGTTTTCGACTACTTGTCATCCACAAACTAATGGACAAACAGAAGTGGTTAATAGGAAGTTGTCAACCTTATTGCGTTCTATTATTCAGAAGAACTTGAAGAACTGGGAAGAGTGTTTCCCGCACGTTGAATTTGCTTATAATCGGAGCATCCATTCGGCAACTAACTGTTCACCATTTGAAGTTATGGTTTTAATCCACTCACTCCTTTAGATTTATTGCCTTTACCTATTGACGAACAAGCTAGTTTGGATGGGAAAAAGAAAGCTGAAGTGAAGCAACTGCATGAGAGGGTGCGACAAAACATAGAGTGACGAACTGAGCAATATGCAAAACAAGCCAACAAAGGACGCAAGAAAGTTGTATTTGAACCTGGAGATTGGGTTTGGGTGCATATGCGCAAGGAGCGATTCCCTGCACAAAGGCGTTCTAAGCTGCAACCAAGAGGCGATGGACCATTTCAAGTGATTGCGAGGATTAATGACAACGCAAACAAGTTGGAGCTTCCTGGTGAGTATAATGTTAGTGCTACTTTTAATGTTTCTGATCTTTCTCCTTGGGTAGAGATAAGTGTGTACCTACGAGATAATGCATCAGC